CCCAGTTCCCAGCCGCTCCTCATAAGACTTGTTCTCCAGACCCTTCACCAGCCTCATTGCGCTTCTCTGGACACGCTCCAGCACCTCAATGTCTTTCTTGTACTGAGGGGCCCAAAACTGAACACAGTATTCGAGGCACAAATTCGATGGGAGAACAATGAGAAATTCAATGGGAGAACAATAGCAAAGACAGGCGATCTAGGAAACTGTTTATATGAATTAAAAAGAGGGAAAGTGTTGATCTGAGAAAAGATATACCCGTCCTGAAACAGGGCTGCTGAAAAATAGCAGGAAATTTGTCTTCTGTATCCCCATAATGGGTTTGAAATGCAGCAAGGGAGATCAAGATTAGACATGGGGAAAATATGCTTGTAATAATCACCAGGAAAAAAAAAAATCATCTAGGGAGGTTGTGAAGCAGACACTTTGGAGGTTTGTCTAACTGACTCCTAAAACATCTGTCAGGAAGTAAACTGTAGATACAGATGACTTTGCCTTGCGACATGAGAATAGATTAAATGAATTCTCAAAGTGTATTGCAGCCTTATTTCTATGATTATTTACACAAAAAGCTAGACTGTAACAGCCCTTCATTGCTTTTATGTTTTTCCAATAGGAAGGGCAAGCTTTTTATATCACTATTTATTACTCTGAGAATGCAGGTGGTGTTGGCTAGACAGCTAAAATAAAAACCCAGCAGCCACTGATGCAGATACATGGTTTTGGGGTCCAAGAGTGTATCAGTGTATGCAGAATAAGGACTATAGTTAAAGGACATGTAGGAAGTGGTTCTAGCAATTAATTTACCCATGTCCAAAATGAAGTTGGTCTTCATTTCCAAAACGAAATCAACACCGAACCCTAGCCAGCTATCTAGCTAACATTATTCAAAGTGACTTACTATTATGTGATTACAATAATGTGATTACTATTATGTGATACATGCTGTTCTATAAACAAGATTAATCCACAATGTCCTTTTCTTAAATTTACTGAAGTTACTTATGCACAAATTTTGCTGACTGCATTTTAAACTTGGCTCTGTCTGTGGCTGTACGTGAACTTGGGCTTTGCATTGTTGTACAATATTTCACTTGCACAGCAGCTGTACTGTCTGTTCAAGTTCACAGAGTATCAAATCCTGATTGCTTTTTTTGCTGTGTTAGGAAATACTACACACGGCTCTTCTCTTGTATCTTTAGCTTTAGCCTTTTGAATGATAACTTTTATAAATAACTTATTTATAAAGTAACTGTTATTTATAAAATACTCTCAGATATCTATTAATGGTGTTAAGGAAATGCAAAGCATCATTTTTCATTTTGAAATTGATTATATAGTTCCATAATGTGGTTGCTTTTTTCTTTTAATATGGGCTACAGTAGGCACTGCTTTCCTAAAAAAGAAATCTGTAGAAAATAGCACCTAATTCATAATGACTCAATAGAAAATTAAGAGGATTATGAGATTTCATTTTAAAAGTACCACACAGCACTTAATAACGTGGCTTTCTTGAACAGGAGAATTGAAACAAGCAGCTGTGGGAAATTTTAATCGAATTAAGTTGCATGTGTTAAAATGTATAATTAAAAGAAAAAGTGGCTTTTGACTTTATACATATGATTCCTGCCAACATAAAGGGAGGAAGACAGCACCATTTGCTGAAAAGAAGAGCACAGTTCATCTGATCATGCCTCTTCAGTTATAAGTGGAACACGGTTTTATTCTATTTGGTAAAAAATAATAGAACTTTTTTTGGCTTTAGAATCTGGACTCTATGATAGAAGGTGGTGAGAATTAAGCAGGTTTCCTATTCCTCTTTCCTGTATGGTGAACAGGTCCTAATACCCTTCTGGGCAGAACAGCAATAAAGGATTATTCTCCTTTAATTGAGCCTGATGTTGCTTACCCAGAATCTGTAAAGAGGAGGACGGCAAGCAGTCTTATGTCACTTAGGTAAGTAGCAAGATACTTTGTGATCCTGGAGTCTGCTAGTATGTATTTCATTTCTACTTTTACATCCATTTAGAGAACTTTGACTTTTAGCCTGAATTAATACCTGAAATTAGATCATAAAGTTTCTCTGTGTTGAATTATTAAAGCAGAAATACCCAACAGTGGAATAGAGAAACTGTATTTCTGTGATTCAGAATTAGTAACATATCCTCTGGTGAAACTACAGCTTTGAAGGATGTGTGTGTCTTCATTTAAAGATCACCCTTTCGGTTGGCGTGTTGGCTTGGGCAGAAGAGAAACTGAGTGAACAGCAACGAAGGACCTAAGGGTAACTCAAAGAGCATAAAGTTTGGCAGGTCTTGAACTCTCTGAAAGCCCTTTCGAAATCTCCGGAAAATAAACAGGAGCAGACTCTTTCATGAGGTTAAGTCCTGCAGTTAGAGGAAACTTTCTACAGCAGTTTCCTAAGATCAGCAGAAGACCAGGTCTGTGAAAATGCTTCTGACCCTTCCCCGAGCAGAGGAACCTGAGGCTGGGCAATCTGCGCTCTGCTGCCCACCCGCCCGGACAGAGACTGCCGCAGATAAGGAGCAACTCCCACAAGCACTAGCCATGAAACCCAACTTCTTGCAGTTGTAAAAGCAGACAGCATATTCACGGAAATTTCCATGGCTGAATAGAGGCTTTTGACTTGCCTAATAAAGCCAAGGGGCTATTTCCAGGGAGGCTGGGAATTGTTCTGAGCTGGGTACCCAGGGTCCCTAGTCTCTCTCCAATTTAAGTGCCCAATTTACAGGCTATTCTACCTTCACAAGAACTCTCCCTGCCATTATGTGGAGGAAGTAGTACCTCTCTTGTTTACCATTCTTTAGATAATGCGCAGCCTCCAAGAAAAAGCTCAAAAACTCTCAACCTTTACATTAGCTGGGTCTCTGCTGGTAACATCTGGAAAAGTATGTACGGTTTCAAGAATGTAATCTAGCAGAAAATGAAAACTGTCCTCCTAAGAGAAAGCAATGTGCTCAGTTCCTTAATGCTGCTCTGTTTGCAGAGCCATATTCCAAACTGTACCTGGAAAGTGTTAGAAGGGTGTTTTTACCTGTCTCATATACCGCTTCGGACACGGAGGTAAAGTGGTCTTCTACTGTGTATTGTGCCAGCCGGAGCGTGTCCAAACCTCGAACTGAATCATTTCCTCTAGTCCAGTAAAACATGACATCATTGATGTTATAACCCCCTGTAGTGATACACAAGCCAACAAAATTGTTTATTTTACACAATAATTAATGTGTTGAGCACACTTATGGTTCAGCTGTTTCTTATTTGCCTGTCCGAAAGTACAATTAGACATAAACAATGACGGTTTTTGGCAGAACGTAATGCCTGTTTGCAACAAAACTCCCAATAACATGCAAAGTCTTATCATTTAAAAGCTGACTTTTTCAGAGGTGGTCTTTTTTATATCTTTTATTCTAGTATAGACGACAAACTATTAAAAGAGATTAGTACCACATGGTATTCTAAAGGCAAAAGCTATTACGCTTTAAAGAAATACAGTTTTTATGAATTATAGCACTGCCAGCATTTGGACTAAACATTAAGTGTGCCCTTTGTTGCACCCCAGGCTGCTGTTTCTCGTTGCAGCGCGTTTGATCCTCATTCCCATAGAAACGAAGGGGTGAGGAGAGCAGCAGGGCTGCTGCGTGCTGGCGCTGCGCTCTGAGCTGGGCCTGGATCGTCACTTGGGATGACATTTTGGCGTAGGAGCTTGGATGCTTCCCAAGGACACCAGCTTAGATGCTGATGTTTCTGCAGGCTCAACAGCGTGGCACGCTTCAGGGGCCCCAGGAGACTTCCTCTTAACCTTCAAGTAGTAATTAGGAGCCGAGACGGGACATGAATCATCTATCAGAAGGCAACTGTATTTTGCACACACTTGTCAATATGCAGCACAATCATAGCTAAGATACCTCTGTAGCTTTTTCCCATTATATTAAAAGGCAGGCAATTTTCAGACTAGTGTATATGATTAATTCAAGATTATGTTAATGTAATTTACATGTTAACAGGGAGCATTTGAACATCTTTTCCTTTAGCTTGCTTAGATCAATCATTCTTGTATCTGACAGACTTATATTGTGCAAGTTAATAGCTAAGCTTAGGGGACAGAAACATGAGCCAATGATTATTTTTAGACTCCAGCCAATTGTAAGTAAATTACAGTGAGACAATAATGCAATACATTGCACAAGGGTATATGCTGCAAAAAGAACAAAGCTCTAGAATCACAGAAAAAGAGATGCATTAAAATAAAAAGAGCATTTTAATATTTTTAAGTTAATGGCTTTGTTTCCTGCAATGACAAAAAAGAACTGATTTCCTACAGCCATTTAATGTAGGATAAACAGGAGTTCAGAAATTTCATTTCAAGGAAACACTATGCTGGTTACCAATTAAAATGACAACTTCACCTGGAAATTCTTTCCCTGACCATTCTTTAAGTGTAAATCTTGTTTTCACTCTCACTGGCGCTTTTCTGAAAAGGTATCATGACCAGGGATCTCTGCTCACGCTATCACATTTATAGCAATTAAAGCCAAAACACTGCTGTGTCAAAAGACTAAGCCAAAAGCATGCACGTCCAAGCTAAGTTCCCAGTTCTCTAAAACCACATGCTGGGAAGTTTCCCAGATTTGGGAGATGAAAAATAAAAGTAACATTTCCTATAAATAAATGATTGCATTGTCCTCAGTCAAAACAAAGAGCTTTGTAGCAGCAGTTTTTATGCATGACTCCAGGCATGGATTCATTTTACTTTCTTCCAGTATAAATGAACTGCAGATATTTAAATAAAATCCAAAGAACTAGAGAGTACCACAGTAAATTCTTATTTATTTTTACAAGATATTCAGTCTTCCAAGTTGTATGAGATGGGAGAAATTCTTGATGCCTGGATGGGTGATAACAAGCACATCTCCAAGGATGGTTGTTTTGCTTTAATAGAACCATTTTTGTTCCAAAGTATTTTCATTAGCTGAACAATTAGTAGGTTTTGGTGATCTTTCCTATTAAAATTCTTTGAAAATACTGGTTCCAAAACTCTATTTGTGAAGAATTTTCATGGGGAGAATCTTCCTAATAGTCAGTAAAGTTAAATAGCACAGTGCTCCCTCTGTGCAAAGTTATTCTTTATTCAGGGGATTAATATTTTACTAATTATAAAATGTTTAAAAAGTTTATAGAGACAAAATCCTTAAGCCATGTTATTTGGCTTTTACAAGTAATCTCTGTTCTCTTTACATGACACTGAGTTTTCATTCTAACTAATTCCTCAAGCTCAAAATGTCTCATTCCTGTACTTTGTTGATACAGTACGAACAGCTAATGTCAACAGGGTTAGCTACAGGAATAGTAAATTTGGGATTAAACATTCATAATGCCCATTACAGACGAGTTTCTTTACCTTTCTGTTGCTAATTTTAATTTCCCCTGATTGTCAAGCACAAGTTAAGTGCCTTCACATGGCTCTTCACTGAATAAATGCTGAAGGACAAGTTCAAAAAGGAAATAAAATTTCAGAGATGGGCCCAAAACATGAATATGTATTTGGACTGCAGGCCTGGGGGCGGAGGGGTGGAAGAGGAAAGAAGCCCTCAGCCCAGCGTGAATGAATGGTGGTGTTCCCTGCCACATGGCAGAGAGCATGACCCCCCCCGGCAGCACCAAGCGAGACAGGAGCCCTCCAAGTCCCCAAATGTCACACCTGCCATATCAACAGAGACCCAGAGTAGCAACTCTCTGTCTCCTAACATATGCCTGTACTACCTGCTAAAGTGTTGCAATAACAGGGGAAAGAAACAATAGACATTTTGGCTGAAATGTATTTTGCTGTGTAGAAAGTATAAATCAATTAATGTTATTAATGACTAATAGCAAAATAGCATGTTGTAAAGGCCACTAGGGATGCTTTACTGTGTAAAGCCATCACGTGATAATATCGATTGATTACATTAGTAATCACTTAATAAAAGGCCTAGCCCTGTTTCAGATCACATATTCGCTATGTATTTTACATTTTATTTATCCATCCACACAAATACCAATGTGTATAAATAAAACGTAAAATGCATAGCGAATATGTGATCTGAAACAAAGTGTTAGGCCTTTTATTAAGACGGATATTGCTTCTAGCTGTTTTCTTTAAAACCAAACACCAATGTCATGGGAGCATTTGTGATGACATTATTATGTTTTCCCCTTGGACAGGAGACACTTGTGTGTTGTTGAAAAAGCAGACGGAATCATTCTGAAAAATGCTCATTTTAAATTATATAGGGAATTTTCCTTTTTTTAATCCTGTCAAATAAGTTTAAGCACTTACATTTCATTCTGGAACTAGAGAAAATATTAAATGACTCATTAGGCAATGCTGTTGATGTAGAACCATATGCGTTGACTTACCAATATGCTCTTCCAAAGGAAAATAAATTAGAGATAAATCCAAATTCTAATTCAAATCACTATTTGTTAAACAGATCTTATAAAACTGCTGATGCTAGAGGGACCCCTGTGTAAGGAAGGTTTTGGGGTTGATTCCCTTTGCGGTTCTGTCTAGAATGAAACTTTGCAGCAATCGTCTAATTGGTCATTGCCAACAGGAGATAAAGAACACACACGCATCTGAAATGGTAAAGAATAAAACTTGACAAGTACTGAAAAACCTTCCAAAAGATTTTAAATATGTATTGACATATATTTGAACATATATTTTCACCTTACAGGATTGGGTATCCTTTTAAATGTAAATTATTAATTTTAATTATCCCGAGCAAAAATATTTTGATAGAGTCTTATCATATGAATAATAGCAAAACGTTAACTATAAACATGAACGTTTGGGTATTTGCAAAGTGACCATGTCTACAAAGTATTAGAGAGCATATTTTAATTAAAATTATGAGGACATTGATTGATAAAATGAGAACCTATAAAGGTATATTTAGTCTTGGTCCATCAATTGATGACATTTTTTCCCAGAGCACTGGCATGGAGGCAGTTAAATAAGTCAATGAAGTTCTGTATATATCCATCTCAGAACAGATCTGTCTATGCAATTACCTTTTTTTCAGTATGAAGACAGTAAATTAATTAAATATGAACTCTATGCCTTACAAATAAGCCTTATTCTAATTTCTCTCTTTCCTAAAGGAATTGTACATCGGGGGAGGGGGGAAATATGTGCTATCTGAAAGAGAAAAACAAATAAAAGATATTTTCTTGGCTGTGCTGGAAAATGTCTGCTCACAGAACTCCCCCTGAAGACCAACAGAATAACTGCAGGATGCACTGCAAAACGAGGCCTATGATAATCTCCTGAGATTTTGTTTAATCATTAATAGCTTGGCAGCATTTCAGTACTGCCATGCTATTTTCATGATGCCTCGTGCATCTTTGTATACAAATACTATTGTAATTCAACAGGGACTGGTCACTGGCTTCTTTGAAAATTCCAGCCTCTTTGATAATAATATCTAGCAGCCCTTAAAAAAGATCACAGATATTTTTCTAATTGTGTAAAAATAATAAGTATTAAGCATCTTACAGCTTTCCAGTTGCAAAGTACACGTCTGCTTATCCATGGGATATTTGGTCAGATCCATGCTGCATGCAACAGTTGTGGTGATCCTTGGAAAAAAAAGAGTATTGCTGATTATTAATGGGATAAAATTGTTCATCAGTAAAAATAAAAATCCATGTATCCTTCTTGAAATAATATTTGCGGGCAAATATCTATTACAAGGAAAAAAATCTAGTATTTACTGATATCTAATGGGGAAGAGTAATAAGCATCCAGAACAGGAAGGAAAAATATCTAGTATTTACTGATATCTAATGGGGAAGAGTAATAAGCATCCAGAACAGGAAACAGCTCCAGAATAGCTGAGTTTAGTGGCAGTCTAAAAAGGCCACCCCTTGCTCCCTTCTCACTTACAGTGTGCATTTTCCTTTGTTAATATTTTGCAATATATTTTACAATTTTGTTATATTTCTCAAAATCTATTATAAAGGATAATCCGCAATAAATAATGCAAATCAATCATCACTGCTTGCTTTCCTCTGTGATGACTTCATTGCGAAACAATTGGAATGGCAAAATGCAGTTCCTGTATTTGGTCTACATGAAAGCAAAAGGGCCTATTTAGGGAAGAAAGGGAGACCTATTATTAAATTTAAGGATTTAATCATATTGGTCAATAATATTACATATTCATAAGACTACAAGACCGTGCACATTCTACTTTTACAAATAGATCAGTTTCTTAAGCATAAAATTCTGCTAATCTGGAAAGTTTAAAATGTAAGTAGAAGCCAAATATAAAGGCTGGTATGAGGTATATACATACCGTAGAGCATACAAGACTGTTCCATTAGGGTATATTCTTATAAGACGATTCTCAACAGTGATATCATGAAGAAAAGACTTTTTGGAATCAACTATGAAGGTATCTGGTACCCAAAGCATTTCCACAAGCCGACCATCTAAGCTTAAACTCTTATTGCCATCGAAACAAAGTCTCTCATCAGTCCATCGCTGCCTTAGAAATATGGTAGCTGTGTAGTCCTGAAAGAGAAAAAACGAAGTTATCATACAGAGCAAGCCTGTATTATATTGTTTTACAAAAGTTTATGGAAACAGCTGTTGGGCACAAGTAGCCTGTGACTCTCCATGTCCCATTCTTAAATGCTGGCACTCCGATAGCAGTTGTACTGGCTCTTGTACTGCCAAATTTTCCAGCACTTGATGTGAGGTTGACATCATTAAGAAATATTATCTTCAGTAGATTTTGTTCTTATGGTCATTGGAATTTTACAGTAAAAGCTGATGGCCTAAGTCTGGGGCTATAAATCAGCTGAAATCATCAGTTTTGTAAGCAGATAATCTGGCTCTGTAAATCTTTAAATTTTAAAATGATGTATATAAGTGGTTGCAAACATTTTGTTCACATAAACTACTAAATAATGCATTTTTTAAGAAAACTTTGGAAAAAGTTGTATAACTTCAGATAGACAAAAGGATGAAAGAAGTTAGTGAAATAGGAAGGGAATCATCGTCTTTTAGCACAGTTTATCCTTTCAGCATCACGAGGGAAACAGTGGTGCCAAATTTATCAAGACCTTGAATATAGCTCTCAGACCAATTCACCTTCAATTCAGATATGCCTTGTAGTCTTACATTAAAATCACACTATTTCTTAGCACCTTTTTCATCAGCTTTTGATTTTATGATGTGTTTTTATCAGTATGAGAAGTTCATCTTAATTTCTGACCTTACTTCCCCCTTTCTAAATACTAACTAATACTTATTAAGTACAGAGGGATTCTAATATTCATCTTCTGTAGAAGCCTGAGTAATGAAATGGTGAGGTACTTGTATATATATACACACTTTTTAAATATATTTATTTATTTATATGTGCACACACTTTTTAATATACACACACACAAATATTTTCTAATATTGAATATCTGATTAATGAATTTTGTCTTTTATTTCTATGTAGCAATGGAGGATCTTTAATTAGAAAAGTATACTCCATTTCATAGTTTGTTCAGAAATAAATGATACAAATGTAATGAAACAGCTGGAATAAATTAATGTGTGACAATAACAGTAAAAGAGAAAAACCATATGAGTTCAGCTGTGTCTAATCACAAGGAAGGCTTCAAAGTCACATGAATATATGTTTTATTTTCTGAAATGCATAAAGATTTAGACATTTCATCTGGAAAATAAATACTGCCCTACATGCCTTTCATTAAGATTAATGCTCAGTAGCAAATTTCTGTTTGTATCTGTGAGAGGTGTGATTTGCGTCTGCATTTCACCATATGAGTTCAGCTGTGTCTAATCACAAGGAAGGCTTCAAAGTCACATGAATATATGTTTTATTTTCTGAAATGCATAAAGATTTAGACATTTCATCTGGAAAATAAATACTGCCCTACATGCCTTTCATTAAGATTAATGCTCAGTAGCAAATTTCTGTTTGTATCTGTGAGAGGTGTGATTTGCGTCTGCATTTCTATACTTATTATAGTGCTATAACCACTACCTGTAGCGAAAAATAAAATTCCATCTCCTAACACACATTGACTGCACAAGGAGAAAAGCCTCAAAGTCACATTGCCAGCAGCTGTAAACACAAGACATTAGCTTATCAACAAGCAAAACAAAAAAGATTCCAAAAGCTACAATACCATATTTATTTCTGATATTGTATCAATGCTTGCAATATCCAGACTCATTCCAACTGACACAGGACCATCTGCAAAAAAGAGAAAGTCAGAATCTAGCACGCAGTTCTTTAATACTCAGTGTTCAGCAGAACTGGCTACAAAATCTTCCACAATGTGATCCATTTTTTTCTAAATGTTTAGTAGCTTTTTTAAAAGGAAATATTCCTCAAACTTAGATTATGAAAGAATTTTAATGATTTCATAACCAAAATATAATACTTCTAGACTAACAGTATCTTGGTTTTAACAAACATGCTTTATTTCCTGGTTTATATGATTATTTTTTTTCCCCAGAAAAAAAGTGCCGGGGAAAACGTTGCACAACAAGTTGCGGAAGGTACAATCCCCACGGTACATCACACCCTTCTGCTCTGAGGTGCAGAGCGGTGGAAAGAATTCTTCCAGCTGCAACATCTGGTCCATCAGATGTTAGCGAACTAAGGAGTTGCACCCGGCAATGTCACATGGTTAATATGCAGATGGGATAGCTGAGTGACTTTATTTACTGCCTATTTAAGAATATATTGTCTATATCGTGTCACTGCATTTTAATGTCTTGCTTTTGACCATTAGCAGTTAACTTGTGATTTGAATACTTGCATTTATAAAGGAAAACTAGTCATTTTATTCTCCTTTTAATATTAATATCAGCTGAAGGTTTATTCAGTGTGATTAAATACCTTACCAAGTAGTTGTCATTATAATGTTAGTATGCTCAGACTCTCGTTTCCTTGTGAATGTGCATTTTACAGTGTCAGAAGGAAAATCACCAGCCATTTTAAAATCACCATGCGTTTTAAAAGTGAGGAATTTGTGCAGCGCTTTCATGGAAACATGACATTACCCCTGGTTGAATATGTGCAGAATAATTAACAGAGAACACGTACAAGGAAATTCATATTAAACAAGTGCATCTTTCCAGGTAATTGAGAAGCAGAGAATGCAGCACTGAGAAATGCAGAAATGCTTTAGATAAGATCTATGTAGCTGATGGTGCCAGTATATCGCAGGCACACTGCTGAAACCCCCTCTTGGCTCCTTGCAATGTACTATGTACATAGCTCTTACGTGCTCCCAAATGGCATCTAGAGGCAGATGGGGTCCAACTCTACCCCACTGAGTAACACTAAGGAAAAAAATGTGTCATTCTAAGTGGTATAAGCATATTAGTATTTTTATTTTTTTCCAAAATAATTTCCATTTGGAATGCATGTGTTAAAGTTGTTAAACATCTGGCACTCCTGAGAAAAAAAAAAAATCTATAAATGCTTTGTTCTGGACTCAGTTGAAAGCTCAAATATAAAGCTCCAGCTTAAAGCAGGACTGTAGGCTTGCAGCATCCCCTGATGGTAATCTATGTGTTTAATTATATACTATAAATTGTGTATAGGGATCAGAAGAAATTGTTCATCTATTTGAAGAAGACTTTAGAGGTTAACTTTGGAACAAAATTATTTGACTGAAAAGTTCTCAGACCATTGACAGCTTATTCTTCTGTTTCTTTCCATTCTTTTCAGGTTTTGATACTCCAAGAATACATTTATGTTTTGTCCCTCCAGGGTTTTCCCTCTAGGAAACTCAGCCCAACCTTCTAGGGTGCAACAGCAACAGAGTCAATTGATACTTATGCTTATATCATTATTACAGTATCACAATTACATATATTGCCATCCTCAAAAGATGTGTCAGAGCCTCAAAAAATCATTAAATTTAAAAGTAAGTGTGATTTATAATCTATTTTCTGATTTTTTTTAAAGTCTTCCTACAGATTCCCATGTATGACTGTAACAGAGCATATTACTGCCAACCGTCACACAAGAATTTAGGGGGAACCTCATCATGCAAGGCATATGCTTAACGATGAACCATCCTAAGGAGATGACAATGCAGTGTTCAGCTGGCTATGTGGGAATTGTGGCTGGGAATAATCAGATTCTTTCCTATTATATCATATTTTATTGGTAGGAACAACACTTGATCCTTGCCTAGTTAAGGTGATACAGATTAGGGGAAATGTTCACTAGCAGCATTTCAGTATCATCAGTGCTATTGTTACACGTCTGAGATGAAAAGCTGACTTTCCAGAAAGATTACTGAAATTAAATTAGGTTTAATTCTTCTGGAATCACAGAAACAGGACTTTGTACATCTCTTCCTTCTTTCTTTCCCGTTGCGGTATTTTTCAAAATATTATTGAGTAACACAACAGAATTGTAGTGTTGGGTGACTCCCAACCACCAAAAGGCATCTCGTTTAGGCTAAGAGGTACTTCAAGCTCAAACTGATTGTCCTAGCACAGACCTGCCTTGCGGTTCAAGTGCTAAGGAGTGGTAGTGAATCCAGGACAAAACCGTCCTGCTCTGCTAGCCCTGACAGTCTTCACAACCCAAGTGCTTGTGCTGTGCAGCCAGCCTCTCGAGCCAAGCACTCATGAAAACTCAGCAGAAAATGACATCCCCTCAGATACAGCAACATGCCAGGGAGGAGCTGTGCAGGACAAAAAAAAAAAAAACAAAAAACAAAAACCACAACAAACCAAAAAAACCCACCACAATTATGGAAGGGCTCTTTATTAACACAATACAAGCTGCTGAGAATAGCTAGAATAGCTTTGCTTTAACAGTCAATTAAATCAGAACAATATTAATGGTTAAGTGCCAATTTCTTTTTTGTGTGTGAGGCTAAATACAATTTATGGTGCCTTACTAAATAAGCAAAGTATTAATAACAGAATGAGTCTTCCCATAATTATTCACTGGGTTTTCCCCTGAACTTCTTCTGAAAGGTCTGCAGCGGACAGTGTCAAAAACAGGGCAATAGACCAGATGAGGCAGTCAGTTCCTACATTTCCATATGTTTTTCAGGAATTGTATATATAATGACAACTTCAGAAGAAATCTACTGATCTTCAGAAGAAAACTAAAGTCACTCTGTCCTGCGTTAGTGAAGGGAATCTTCAAAACACGGCAAAGAAACGTCAAAGGGTGTGCCTTGTTACAGCAATGGGTGCACAATCTAATTAACATACATTTTAACTTTTACTGAAATTTATGTACAAAGACTGTTACTTGATGCACTTTACGGATATTCACAGTAATCCCATATGGGAAAGCAGCCAGAAGAGTGGCAGATAGCATACCTAAAAATTGTTTGGATGACTGCAATGATCAGAGTCTGTTAAACTTTGTACCAAAGTAAACCACCACTGTGTCACGTATGTATTTGTAACTCTGAAGACCTACTAAAATCAAATCGGCATTATCATGAACTGCCAGTGCTGAGCTGTTAGTCCTAGCTCTTTTTCATTTAGTTTAAGAAAACTTAGAACAATTCTGACATTCAGAAATATCTCAAAAGGGATGGCTTTTTGAAAGAACACCTCATCCTTGCAGCAATACTGGATAAAATACTATGCAACTCTAACAGAGAATTAGAAAGAAAAGTATTGCTAGAATAATTTATTATAGTTTCATGAAAAACTGTTTTTGTCTGCCTGATTGCCAGCTTTGCTTTGTTTTAGAGTATTATGGGACTTTTAGATAAAGTGATACATTACGCTTGGATTTTTTGGATGCATTTAACTTCCCACCACAAGTCATCCTTCCTGACAAATATATATTACGTGAAGAGACCGGACAGATTAAGATAGGCCTTCTGGCAGATCTCAACTGTAATTGTTGATACAAAGACGTCAGAAGACAGACCCATTTTTAGCAGGAATCAGCTTCAATCTTATTTGTTCGCATCGATCTTTAGACAGTGATGTAGCTTCGCTAGTACAGTTTGTGGACAAGACAAAAATTGGTGGGGATCATAATAACAGCTTGTTAAAACATTTGTCAAAAACACATATTTTAATACAATCAAATCCAAGCAATTAATGTGGGGACAAATAATGCAGGCAGTATGTACAGGATAGGAAACTATCTTGGCAAGCAGTGCCTTTGAGAAGGATTTAGAGGTTGTCACAGATAATCATTTCAACATGATCTTTCCATATTATGCTTTGGCAGAAGCACTATTGCAATGGGGAGCAATACACAGAATTAAGTTATCTTGCAATCTAGACTGTATTGGCAAGACTGTTACGAGATTACCGTGACAAGATTTGTTTTCCACATTTGAAAAAACTGTGCAAACAGCAGACAGAGTTCAATTGAGAGAGAGAAATACTCCAGAAGACAAAAAATTCTGGAAGCTTAATATCAAAGCTTGTAACACGAAAAGTAAGGAACAGCATTTACTCAGCTCCTCAAAGAGAAGATGCAGAGGTGACGTGCCCAACGTCAGTAAGCACATAGAAAAGGTATCCAGTAGCAAGTTGTACACATTCTCTGACAAAGCAAAGGAAGATCCCAGTTTATGGAAGCTAGACGCAACATGAAACTTCAAATAAATTGATTTTTTTCTAACTGAACTTAATCACTGTTCATCATTTAGAGTCTCTAGACGTCAACATTTGGATTGTCCTGCATGCAGGAAGCTGGGTTTGGTGGCAATTGTAGTCTCATAGTGTCTCTTATTTCCATGGGAAAGGAAGGAAAATCTACATTACCATCTGTATGCTGAAGTTTACAGCTTTGCACCAAGTCATTGATTTATTAAATCACAATTTTAAGGATTCCGTAGGGATTCAAAAGATATTTTTTCCCAATATACAACTGGCCATACATATTCTGGGCTTTTTGCCTTTCTCTGAAGGATTAGACATTGGCTAACTGGTACATAAAATAGTCTTTAGACAATGATTATTTGGTATTCCTTTCTGATGTACCCTGTGAGCTTGTCTCAATAAATCAAAGGGTCTTAGACACGGCTAACATTCTGATATCTCCTGGTCTCTTTTGGAGGTAAACTGTAAACTTCTGAGGACTAAAATGCCTTCCCATTGAAGGCATTTTCAATTTCAATTTCCCATTGAATTGAACCCATAGAACTTAATATAAACAACATTTGAGAAAAAAATACGATGACTGATCTTACACAGAAGGTTGGACTCAAAGATTTAATTTGCTTTCTTGACTTTAAACCTTAAGACCATGAAATGTATTACTCATTACAACGCTAAGAAAAATAATCTTTTAAATGTGGTTTAGAATAACTAATTTAAACATGACACTTTTCTATACCACTTGAAAGCAGCTTCCATATTCAAATATACTTAGCTGTGACCTTTTCCTAGTCTCTCTCTTTTTAATTAGAACACTTAAATTATCACATTCAATCACAGAACAAAATCTATTTGTATAAAATTATTTACAAGATTTTATGCATCCCTTAACAACTCTATGAACCTGATCCAAGGCTCACTGAAGTCAGCAGGAATTGCTCATTAATTCAGAGAGGTTTGGCACAGCACCTAAAGTTATAAAATTGGTCTACACAGTTTCAGCAGAAAACCTGATGTTGAAATCAGTTTGTATTGCTGAGATAAAGTGTCAGGGTTACGTAGCACATTTAAGGGAAATAACTGTGCATTTTTAATTCCCTTATGTCAGCTTTTCTATAGAAGACTTTCACATCTATCGAAAAGTCTAGGACAGATATTATTATGTTAAGGGGTACTATCTACTAACACTGGTATAGGAGTATTTCATATTCCAGTCCAAAGAATGGCTAAAATCATTCTAGATAGGTAATGTTTTAATTCACTAATGGAGCTTCCCAGGTCTATCTGTTCAGTTTATTAAGACTTGCTTGATGAACCAGCTCAAAGAGGGACATTAAAATGCTATACTTAAGGAAAGGGAACATTCTTAATAGCAACATTCAGATGAGGGCAGAGCCAAGTAACCAGTCCAGCTGGGATTCCTCTGTACTAAACACTGTGTAAAAGTACCCCCATAATTTGGTAACTGGGATGTGCCACCCACCATGGACAAACATAAAACGCTCAGTCAATTTTACTTGTCTGCAAACCTTTGACGTACTAAGACTGGCTTCAACTAATCTAACTTTAGGCACCTAATTTAGGTGCCTAGAGATGGGAACGACAGTCTGTATTGGGCATAAATGGCAGCGTTTGAGTAGCAAGGGTCTGGAGGGGTGACCTGTGGGAGAGGAGATGACTAAAGTAAGGTGAGATTAATCCAGGCTTAAAATCTAGAAATCTATTAGTTCCAATCCATACAAGGAGAGGAGAAGACAATTTTTATGTTGTTATGCACAGCCATTGGATTCAAATGAAAAATATCTTCATAATCCCCTCGTTATGACACTAGCTGAGTTGTATCCGCTTAGGTAATTTCCAGTCATCTGCCAGTCCCAGCACAAGGACCAAACACAAACAAATAGGCAAAGAGAGGGCTTATTAAACTAAGAACTTATGAGCTGCCACAAAATTTCCTTGACTAGTAAATATTTCTGTTTCTCCTGACTTTAGGAAAAAGGAACCTTCATTTTATGATCATTTGTTTATACCTAATGCTTTCTTTTCAGGACTAAAAAACCATTTTGCTAAATATTAAGGAGTTCAGTGTCACTGATTTTGTAAGAGTATGACTGTATCTTGGCAGCAAGCATCACTTCAAAAATCCCCGTTTCCTGCCTGAAGAAAAATTTCAAGGACAAAAAACTTTGAAATGACTTTGAATTACGTTATTCTAAAATTCAAGCTAACCTCTGGCCCTCTCACACTTGATAAAAATCACATTTCAGTGTCCCATTATGACTAGCTAACATTAAGCTCAAAGCACTGTAGATGCCAACAAATAATACCATCTAGTTTTATGACAAATTTCTTCATGCATATTTATGAGTGCATATCTAACTGACCACACAAACAGAAATATGCACACTTTCGAAAGCAAAGCAGTCTTGGCCAAAAAAAAAAAAAAAGGGGAGCCAAGTGTCTTAAAGAGGCTGACTTTAGGATATTCTTTTCAGATATTTCTGCGTATCGACATACACATACTAGGTTCCCATTTTATGCAAATCCTTTCACGCACTTCAGACAGCAAACATAGATCGTGGGGTTAATATGCATATACATCCTTTTCTGTTCATGTTTCTAGAAATACAAGTTTCCTTCTCAGAGTAAATCAGCACTGATAGGTTGACACAATTAGAACTGCGCAGGCTTTTATAGTAGCTGATACTCTCCACCAGTACCAGAATACCCCGGGTTATGTTTTTATCATGCATTTGTTCATCGGCCTACTCAAGTCTAACCAGCACTTTGATCTTATGATCCATTTTTGATTGGTTAGTCTCTTACTATTAACATGCAAACATCATACCAAAGAAATTAAGGATTTGGGGGGATAAGGAGGTTTAAAAAAAAAATGTCACAGAAGAGGTATAAATGACTAAATTGATCCTCTGGCTTCATCAACTATTTAGCAGGTGTGCTGTAGCCATTGACACAATTCTGAGTAAAGTCAGTTATACTGAAGTCTTTCTCATGAAGATCATCATACCGAAGAAAATAAGGATATGGGGGGATAAGGTTTAAAAAAAAAATGTCACAGAAGAGGTATAAATGACTAAATTGATCTTCTGGCTTCATCAACTATTTAGCAGGTGTGCTGTAGCCATTGACACAATTCTGAGTAAAGTCAGTTATACTGAAGTCTTTCTCATGAAGATACAAGGTATACCAGCTGCAGGCAGGCGATATCCATAGAAACAAGGAAAACATTACATGGAACAAAGCTAGGATAGCTGTGGTCACAAAGACCAGTATAATCCACTGATTTGTTAAACTGAGGATTTAGGTGGTTTACTAGCTCTGCTTCCGAGAAGAGCAATAGCTTCTCACGGACCTGAATCTCATCCGAGCTGCAGCCCACCTTGCCAGTAACAGAGACGGGTCAGGGCTGGGCAGATACCACTTCCCACCCCACCCTGAGCATACACGCCTCTATCACATGGAAAATTATCCCAAATGATCTTGCAAAAAGCTACAGGTCCAGAAACTGGGACAAACACTTCCTGGGTCATCCTAACCTAAATTATTCCTACAAAAAAGTAATTTCTCACAAAACCACCAACCCTACATTTAGAAATGGCATTAGTGAAATGTATTTTTCAGAGTCTCATCCCATTCCTTCAGCAGTAGGGCTAATATAGATCCATCAAAGATTTCTGCGACACAGCGTTTGTGTGCCTGAGGTGTGGCGAGCATATGCAGCGATGCTGGCACTGTCTGGAAGTGCTAGACTGGCTCTGCATACGACAGACTTGATCTGTGCTTGAGCTTCTCTGGGATTTCCAGGCAAACACAGAAAGTCCTTAGCATCCCTCTGAACAAAATTCCCAGGCAGAAAAAGAGCTATAGCCTTGCTGCATTACAACAGCTGAGAAAAAAAATTGGCTTACATTAGAAAAGGGAGATTTGTAACTCAAAAGTGCTTTATTGTTGGCCTTAAATATTATCATAGGATTTTGCAATGAAATTCTGTTTGCTGTCTACCAAAGCACGTCCATCATGGCAGTGCTAATGTATCTCTAGTACTAGCATGAAGTAATGAATGAAATATATTAATGGCCACCGAACATAAAGTTATTTTCCATATGCATCATCTCCAATGAGAAGGGGTTAGTTTATTTATTAGCATTACTTTCATTTTGCTGAAAATCTTCTTAGAACATGTAAATACTTTGTAGCAGTTGTATCAGCAGCTGAGACAATGACAATAAAAACCAAACAGAGGAAACAGTTTTCCCTTTCTCCTAAACCTAAAATACAGATTTATCTCAATATTTTCATGAAATGGATTCAGAAATTGCACATGATGTGGACTGCCCTTATTGAACAGGCTGATAGTCTCACCAGGTGTTTGGATGGCAAGACGTAACAGTATGGTCTGAGAAACTCTTCAGTCAATCGTTTTGAAGCAGGATATAAACGGATATAAAAGCCTTCATTTGAAGCCTCTAACATTTCTGAATATCTCACTTAAGAACTATTGCCTAGCATTCACTCCGTAAGTTTATTTTCTGACAGACACGTGGTGCTGAGCATGTTTTCAACATGCAGAATATTTTCTTTTTCCGAGTTCTGCACTTACTCCAGGCAGAGATCTTCACCCCGCCTCGTAACTCTTCAGTATTTCTGATAGATGCAATAGCCTGATTCAAGCAAGGAAGATGTTTGTCACTGAGATTTCAGGTGCCTAACGTTGGCTGCACTGCAGGGCAGTAAAATCAGCTTTGGTGCAGTAGACTATGTGGGTCTTCCAACCTGGTGACCGTGGCCTTCTGACACAGGGAACTGACATTTTCGATTCATTTTCCCTCACAGTTCTGCAGTGAACCAGTTCAGTGACCTTTAAGACCCAAGGCAAGAAGCGTTTCTTAAATAATTCTCTTGCGATCTTATAGCAGATGCACATAATACTTGGTATAGTAACCAGATATGCCTGTGCTTTTATGAACAGTTTGATATATGAAGCTTTCTTATCTTTAATCAAAATTTTTTATAGTTATTATTTAGGAAATTAGGGGAAATTATGCTAGATAAGGTATTACAGTTTATTTCACTGAGGACACATGAACATCAATAGCAAAGTTTCCAGCAGTCTGGAAGTTTTGCTTTGTGAATGCCTGGAATATATCAGTTTCACCTTGGGCCACAAAAGCTATTACGCTATATCTTATTATATCATAGTACATCATGTAGAATTAGATCAGCCACTGTCAAACATTGGAGAAAAAAAGTACAGTGAAAAAAACATTTGCTCTCATTGCTGAGTTTCAGACACTGCATTATGTTATGGCTCAATCTTACTAAAACAGCTTTTCTACTTACTATCAAAAAATGGACGTAGATACTTGTTGTATCCTTTTATTATTTTTTGTATAGTTGGAGGTAGAATTTCACCTTTTCCTTCAGCTTCAGGAATTTGCATTGACCTAAAAGGAATGAAAAAAAGTGAGGAAGTTTTAAAAGAACATCATCAATTATAGCAGAGATCACATTCCAGGAAAATGCTGTATTAGTTTCAAGGTTACTGGTGATTACTGCCCATCAGAGAACATATCATGAAGCATTTGTATGTTTGCATTTCACAGCACTGTAGAAAAATAATGTTCTAGAAAATATCAGATTTTATGACCTGTATTAGTCTCTTACTGGAAAAAACCACCACTTTTATACTTTAAAAATCTAGCGTTTCTTTGAAGTCTATCATTTCTTAACACCTCACCTGAGAAAATAGTTCCATCTTCTTTAATACCTTCTCTGAAAATAGGGCACTATTGTTATAATCTAGGAACATGGGAGGGGTGTTGATTGTTTGTTTCAGCATTTAAAATTAAGTTTCTTTTTACATAATGAAACACATTCAATTTAGCTCCCGGAGAGAGACAGAAACCAGCCTCAGAGATTAGTGCATAAAAACACTTCAGAAATCCTGCTTTTATAACACAATTTTTAAACAGAAATAATCCTGTTGGGAAAAATCAGTGAAGCATAATGAGAATACAAACCACTCCTTTGTTCAGAAACAGCTACAAATATGAGCCACAGAAGTCAAATATAAATAAGTAATTACAAACCCCATTTTTGCCCTGGGGCCCCTGCAATGGCCTCATTGGGAGGTTCATTAGGAGGATGAGCGAAGGGACTAGGGAAGATGCATACCTGAATTGCAATTCTTCACTCAGAACACATCAGGATTCATTTTCATATATTCCCCCCTTCACCTCTTATGGGTCTTGATGGTCAGCAGCTGTGGGAGGGACACCTGGGGCCACTAAGGGCTGTTACACTGTAAGTAGCAGTCCCATAGCAAAAGATATCATAGCTTTGCTCTTCTTTTCTGCCTAACCCCTAAGGTGAGCACCCCGAGAGGGTGAGCACCCCAAGAGTGCGAGCAGGGTGTGCTCACCCATCACAGATTCAGGCTGTGCTCTTCATAAACTAAAACACAAGTGGTACTGACTGCTTGTTGCCAATGATTTGAGAAAAGTGGGGGTATGACTTTTCTTTAATCATGAAGGTGAGAAGCAACTAATTGACTGACTCAATTAGAAGCCCAGCTGACTGCAGGCAGAGGCGCTGTCTCTGCTGATGGAGAGCAGCCACCTACATATTCACCAGGAGAGGGTCCCTCTGTTTCTTACTCCCTACACCAAAAGTGACTGGTCACCAAGAATAACCAGCTCTACCCCTTAGCTTTCCTACAGCAGGTACAAGAGCTGTAGCCGTGGTGGCTCAGCCCTGAGAAGGATGTAAGTACAAATTCATGGCTAAGTGGGTACCAGTGTTTTCTGGTCTTTCCTAGTCCTGCCAAATCCTCACTGAATTTCTTCTTCCCAATTTCTCCCAGAGCTGTTCTTGAAAACTCTGCTTGCTCTTCCTGATGATATTTCTGGGCCTCCTGTAGCTTTCCAAAGCTTGCTCCTTTGATTTTAATTTTACTATGTTTCTGAGAGAGCTTGAGCTGTTCTGTCAGGAAACTGTGGTTTTCATCCACGAGGAATAATCCAGTATCTTAGACTAGCAAAACTTAAATGCTAAGATGACCTCACTGAATGTACATGGCCAAATCGCACTGCGGTTTTAGATGTGGTGTCTACTGTCTTGAAGTGCTGCTATTGCTGTGTAATTCTTCTGTTCACCAGACCCTATTCCCACATAAGTAGCTGTTTTTCATTAGCAGTCTTGTAACTCATATAGCGTAGATATTTGAATGACCCTACTTATTTCCCTTATTTTGTCCCTGTTTTTTATTTCTTCATTGCTAGAGAACTATGTTATTAGTTTACTTAGTGTTAAGCGTGGTCTTGAGTAATGCCAGCACTGAAATAAGGAATGTTTCTCCTGTAAGTTGCATCCTAAAGAAACAAGCACGGTCATGTTGAGTTGAAATGTGAATATAAATCAAAAGGCCAGTTTTATGTTGTACAAAAGTATTGGAATTATAAATGTACTTGAATTTAATTTCTTAAATACTGTACTTGCAATAGATATTTCTGCTTTTGTAATTTACATATAACTTTAGCCAAGTGTTCAATGAGCTGTATGAGTTTAATTTCACAGCTTTCCTGGATTGTTTTTGAGTAACTTTCATGTATTGTGAAACAACGAAGGAAAACTTGTCCCTTTTCCACTGCAAGGGTATAATATTGTTCTGCTGATCAGTATGCAGTTGCAGAGTGGTCTGATGTGTTATCATTAAGAGCTAGTTTCTGAAATCTATTTCTTAAATATTTGGCATTATTGTATGGGAGTCCTTCCCTTAAATCACCTGTGGTACCCCTTGAGGTAATTCTTGATTTCCCTCATTACTACTACTACTATTAATACTACTAATGTGTAGCCTCATATCTTTGATTTTTATGTAAGAACTTTGATTTTTAAGTAAGAACTTGTTAGCATGGGAAAGCTGTTGTGCAGTAATTGAGTCTGTGGATTAATGGGGCACTGTCCCTTGTGTGCTATTTTGCCATATCACCTCTGAGAAGTCTTATCATAGTAAGCCAATATATGAGAGGAACCCGATGCCTCCTACATGTGAGTGTGTGGTGTTACCATCCTGGTAACTTTGGGGATACTTAAAAGCAGATTGTCAGTGTTGAAAGGCAAGGAACCTACAGATGTTACGTGCCTTAAGTGGTTTTGCTTATCTACATTTTAGGGGAGGATGCCCTGTCTCCTTTAAAGTGCTCTTCAATTCACGTGCCCCATTCACCTCTAAGCAAGCGTGAGCTCGCAGCTGCCCACGTTCCTGCATTCTGTCATACAGCCTTATGTAGGGACCACAAAGGATAAATGTAAAAGCTGAGACTCATTCCTCTTATGTATGTACATCTTCTCATCAATGCATCTAAGCTTCTCTTTTACCCAGTATTTGTGTTGTTATATTTAACTAACTGCATATGGTTTAGCTCCTCCATTTTCTTAATGTATTTGAAATACTGGCATGCATCTAAGTATGGAATTGCCTTGAAACAGCTGTTCCAGCCACTGAGGAGAGAATAGGCTTTTATGGAAGAAAACAATGTATATTTATTTGGCAGCTGGAAATATCTATCTGTTCTGGGCTGTCAATGTATAATACATGTTTTAAACTCTTCAGGTTCAATGACCTATGCTTGCCTTTATAAAAGCTGAATTATAATTATTTAATTTCCTTAGTTATTCTTATGGCTCAAAAACTTGTATTTTTACAGGCTAGGCTAAACTTGGAAGGTACAACTGCTTGTTATTTAAGATACTTTGAAGTTAGTGTCTTAACAGAATTGGGTAACTGGAGGGGGAAAAGGGAACATCTGCCCTAAGCAGTAGTATATATCACCGCTTAAAACAAAAGTACAGTCTAGACATATGTACGGGGATATTTTTCCTGGCTATTTTTTGTCAGAAGTTATGTATCATGAAAGAGGCAGAACACCTTAGAACTGAGAGAAGGGAGAAACAAAATGCCAAACGCAGTCTGAGCAAGCTTTTGAAACACTCCCCTCAGGAAAAGTAGGGGGAAAAAAGCTTTTTTCAGGCAACCCACTGACAGGTGAAGGGTTTACAGATGCAAATAAAGGTGTTAACTTCTTGTTTCATACCTGATGTGCTCAAGGATACAGGCTTTTGTATGGTCTTTGTAGATAACCTGCAGCAGAATCACCTACATCACTGATTAATTCTCTGCTTCAAAACAGCCAGTACTGTCACGGTTTTTTGGTTAACTGGTGAGGTTGAAACAGTAGCATTACATTACTACTTACCAGATACAGGAACAAATACTTAAATAATGTAACTGCTCTTAAACTCGGCCAAAAACAATAATAAACATACCACAGAATTTTCTGGATCTGACCCTATAAACCCAGGCTAGCATTCTTTAATCTAAAACACACTTCCTGAAATAAATGGGAGCCCTTCTTGGGATCAGATATTTACTTAAGCTTATTTCTGATAATGATTTGAAGTGTAAATTCTATTGATTACTCTAATAAATTTCCCTCAATTTTTTCATTTCTACTTCTTAATAAAAATATTTCTGGGAAAGTGACCATCCAGGCAATCCCCTGGATATAGATTTTAGTATGCGTGTCTATGATGTGATCGTAATGTAATTTAATGTCAAGTGCTGAAAGTGAAGTTAAGAAATGTCATTCAGGAAGGGAGAACTAGAAAGTAAGGTGGAGTCTGATAGCCTGGTGTGACACTGTTAGCATGTGTGTTGTGACAGATCATGTCCTCTATATATCATAGGGAAGATGAGGCTCTGGCTGTCTCTAAACTTAAAAAAACCAAAAACAAAAAAAAAACAACCACCACCATTATTGATTATAAAGTACAAAGTAGAGGAAACTCTCTTCACACATTAGCCAGGGTTTATACAGGTGGAATATCTAAGGGGCTACTGGGGGAGCTGTCCTCACCCTTGCCTCAGTGCACCTCAGTCCTTGGATATTGCTCAGAAATATTTCTCTGTTTCAGTGCCAGGCAGGATAGTTTTTGTTTTAAACGGCACTTTCACCATACCTTCCTGATTTGTGCACTGGAAAAAGGCATTTGTGTACCTAAGCATCGTCTTGGCTGTGAGCTAGCCAAGGGGCAGAGCTGCTTCTCAGCCTGCGTTTGGATTTGGGTACGTGACCGGATCGGCTCAATGCTGTGCACTTCTGTCCAAGGTAAACAGGTGCTGTGCATGCACATAACTCCCATGGGTACTATACGGGAATTAACTGTCTGTGCTTCCGGATACTCTTAGCCGTGTGAAGCTGTAAGGGAGGATTCACAAAGTCTGCCTGATAATAATGAAGGCAATTATATGCTGCAGGCTGAACTTCTCAGGGAATTTTGCCTCCCTGTTAGTTAGGTGCTTCTGAAATTTTGTTGGTCTCTTAGCTGTGTTTTATTACTGCAAAGCCATGAATCATCCAGTGATTATAGAGTCACAAGCAAGTCACAGCTGACAAGGAAGGAAGGTGGTGGCAAGTCACAGCTGACAAGGAAGGAAGGTGGAATGAGAGCAAGCGTGTGTCTGGACAAAGATGTCTTCATAGCACTGGAGAAGGTGGGGGAGATGGATGTTTTAAACTCCCTTTCAGGGGACTGTTCCACCTGCTCTCACAACCAAGTGGAAGCTTTATCTAAACATGTGCTTGCACACCCACTTGAACTAAAGCTCAGGCAGAACCTTATCTTGAGGAATTTACTGGGACACCAAATAGGTTAGGCAATTCTACACAGTGAATCGAGTAACAGACTTTAAATACTTCCGTTAAAGGTGGTAGTGACAATGTTTAACCTGTCCATGCTTGCATTTTCTTGTTAGAATTACTTATAAAGAATAATCTTTTCCCCATTTTTATCGAAGGAATATATTTTAAGTGCTCCGTTTCTATCTTAAGTTTTTTGTCGTGGCAACTGCACTGTTAGCAGGGTTCCTTGTACACAGAAGGGATCAGTTTCACCTTCCCGCTTAACACAACTCAGCTTTCCTGAAGACTCCACAATTTCGTCAACAGGGAGTAAGACGACAATGTTTTAAACAGGTAATTCTTTTTAAGACACACTCCTTTAGTAGCGAATGCACAACAATGACTTTACTACCTCAAGCTTATAGTACATCTAGGTGGACTGTGTGCTTCTGTCCTTGGGCAAGGTACTATGCTCCAGGCAAGGACCATGTGCCCTTCTTAATTTGCTAAGCATCTGATACAATATTCACACTCTCTACACAGTAATCCTTTGTTTGAAGAATCATTTGCTTATTTTAAATTCCTTTCTTCCCCCACCCA